TTCACTTAGCATAATGTCTTCAAGTTTCATCCAGGTTATAGCATGTATCAGATTTTCATTCACGTTTATGACTGAATAATTTTCCATTGTGTGTATATACCACATTTTGTTTGTTCACAAGTTGATGGACTCTTGGGTTGTTTCTCTTTTGGCTACCATGAATAATGCTGCAGTCACCATTGGCATACAAGTAACTGTTCAAGTCCTTGCTTTCAATTCTGTTGGATATATACCTAGCAGTGGAATTGCTGTGTTGTATGTTAATTCTATGTTTAGAATTTTGAGGAATCACCAAGCTGTTTGGACCATTTACTAGCAGTGTATGAGGGTACCAATTTCATCATGTCCTCACCAACTTAATTTGTCTGACTTTTTGACTTCAGCCATCCTACTGGATGTAAAGTGGTATTTAGTTGTGGTTTTGATTTGTGTTTCTCTAATGATTAGTGATGTTGAACATCTTTTCATGTGCTTATTGGCTATGTATATATCTTTTTTAGAGAAATGTCTATTCAGATCCTTTGCCCATTTTTAAATTGGGTATCTTTTTATTACTGGATTGTAAGTGTTCTTTGTATATTTTAGGTACAAGTCCCTTATCAGATATGTTTTTTCTGGGAAATACAAGCTGGAACCACTTAAAATTATTCACTTGAGGTTTTCCGGGTCATATCACTAGTGTAAATTCAAACTGTAGACCTATATATGACTGGCTTGTGGTTACATATTCTTTGGAATGGCTTTATTTTCCTTTCACCCATCCCCAAGGCCAGGACAGGCAAGTTTACTTGCCGTCCTCTTCAGCACAGTGGGGTTTGTTTTTATTTCATACCTGGGTGCTTAGGGTGTGGTTCTTGAGGTTCATAGTTTTCTTTCTTTTTAAAATTTTTTATAATGTTTATTTTTGAGAGAGAATGAATGAGCAGGGAAGGGGCAGGGAGAGAGGGAGACAGAGGATCTGAAGTGGGCTCCATGCTGACAGCAGACAGCCCGATGTGGGGCTCAAACTCATGAACAGCGAGATCATGACCAAAGCTGAAGTCAGACGCTCAACCGATTGAGCCACCCAGGTGCCCTGAGGTTTCTAGTTTTCTAATAGATCCTTTGTATATTCCACACATTGGATGGTTTCTAGTTTTCTAATAGATCCCTTGTATATTCCATACATTGGGTGGGTCCTAAGCTTTATCACCTGCCTACCCGTCTCCTACCTCCCTTTGTAGCTATTAAAGCTGTAAGTTCAAGATTTTTAAGGTTTGGCAGAAATCTTGGGGTGAGAACTTGTTCAATATTCAGTGTTCTCTCTTTCACTTTGTTTTTGGGAGCTGCAGTTCTTTGCTTTCATGCCAGCTCAGAAATGTACTTAAACAGCTGGATACAATGTAAAACAACATTTCTGAGTTGGCAAGAAAGCAGGCAGGGTCAATCAGGGTATCTAATATACAGTAGTTCTATAAATGGTGATCAGGTCATTGGAATTCAGAAGTCAATAAGCTGTAAGGACAAGGTGATTTGTTGATAGAGACATTAAAATCTTCTGACATGCGGTTGGGATTAGGGTTATAGTAGAAGACTGAGTCAGACGTGTAAGTCCTCAGCGAACTTTTGGAAGTCACTAAGAGGTTAGTAGTGAGCAGATAGAGTATAGGTAAGTTGGAGGTACTGAAGTTGGGTGGACTAAGTGTCAAAGGAAGTCTTTTTCTATGCAAGAATGAAAGAGAAGTACCTTGAATAACAAGAGTAACTAATGTTCATCCCTTTGTTTGTCCTGTGGTACACAGGAGTGGATGAATGGTAAGTAGTATGTGATCGACTCTCCTTTACCTTTGACATCTCTCTTAACTTCATATGGTTTTTGTTCTTAAACTAATCAAAATACAAAACAAATGAATTCTATGTTTAAGCATACTTTGTTAAGAGTGGGAAATACTAAAGCATGCTTTCCCCTTTCTTGTAATAGCTTAATAGACTGAGTTCTTCCAGGCAGAGACTGAGCATTTTATAACCCAAGTATTTAGTAACACTGTTCATGGCACATAGAATATAAACTTCATAAGAGCCGGCCTTTTTGTCTGTTTTAGTCACTGCTCAATAAATTTTTGTTTCATGAATGAATGAATGAACACAAGATAATCATAAATGTTTGTCAGATCATATACCTGTACTTGAATGGTTTTCATGATGCTGATGAGTTTCTTGATCAGCTTGGCAAGAGGGAGGGGGACCTACTTTTTTTCTTTTTCTTTACCCTTTTTCTGTCTCTTAAAAATATTTATTGAAGTATATATGTAGAGAAAATTGACTATATCATAATTGATCAGCTCAATTAATTTTCATAAACTGAACACATTTGTGTAAATATCACCCACATCAAGAAATAAGGAACCTAACTTTTAAAAGCATTACTTCAGAAAGTTATTTTCATATAATTTGGTGGGAGCCTGACTCTTTAGTGACTCAGAGGCAGTGCTTACCATTTGCCAGAAAGACAATTGTAAAGTCCTAGATGTATATGAGTTTTTCCTTTTTAGATGTGATTGAAAAAGAACGTCAGAGTTCCTATAATGTTGGAGCCCAGAGCAAGTGATTGTGTGACATGCATTCATACCCAGCATGACAAATAGTGTTGCTAATGGTTTATATCCTAGGGATATGAGGTAGTGAGTTTTTTACTCAATGTTACTGTATTTTGTGTAGATTATATCAGACTTGGTCATAATGTATGTCCTTTCCTTAAGAAAAAACCCTGTATCTAAATTCATGCTTCTTACAAGTATGTGCAGAATGTGAACCCATTTCTAAGTAGAGGACAGGCAATATGGAATGTTGTACTTCAGATTTTAAAGTTTAGATTCATGATTACCAAAATACAAATTTGTTTAAAGAAAGTCTTTGCTTTTGTTGCCTTCTCTAATTCCATTACATCACTTACTTTTTAAAAAAATGTTTATTTTTGAGAGAGAGCATGTGCACACGCAGGGGAGGGGCAGAGAGGGAGAGAAAGTCCTAAGCAGGCTCTGCGCTATCAGCATCGAGCCCCATGTGGGGCTCCATCCCATGAATTGTGGGATCATAACCTGAGCCGAAATCAAGAGTCAGATACCTAACTAACTAAGCCATCCAGGTGCCCCTACTTTTTTTCTACAGCAAGTGTTGGCAAATTTTTTCTTAAAGTGCCGACTAGTAAATATTTAGGTTTAAGGGCCATACTGTCTCTGTCACAACTGCTCATTCTGCTGATGTAGTGTGAAAGCAGCTATAGACAATACATAAACGACTGTGGCAATATTCCAATAAAACTTTATTTATAATGACCAGTGATGGGCTGGATTTGACCCACAGGTTATTGTTTACTTGTCCCTGTGATAGATTATTTACTTGCCCAATAAACAGATGTTCTAAATTGAATGATCTCCAATTTATGGAGGCTTTTTCTTTCATGTTTTATTTTGTGGCTATCATTTTCTTTTCTGAAAGAAAGAAAAAAAAAAAAACGCCGCCCTCTGGTCCTAAAGATTTTCTCCTAGGGGCACCTGGATGGCTCAGTTAGTTAAGCATCTGACTTCAGCCCAGGTCATGATCTCTAGTTTGTGGGTTTGAGCTCCACATTGGGTTCTGTGCTGATGGCTCAGAGCCTGCAGCCTGCTTCAGATTCTGTGTCTCCCTCTCTCTCTGCCCCTCCCCTGCTCATGCTCTGTCTCTTCTTCAAAAAGAAAGGTTAAAAAAAATAGATATTCTCCTATGTTTTCTTCTAGAACAGGTAGTGGCAAACTTTTCCTGTAAAGAGCCAGGATAGTAAATATTTTAGGCTCTGTGGGCCATCGACCTCTGTCACAACTACTCAGCTCTGCTGTTGTAGCAGGAAAGCAGCCATAGAGAGTTCATAAATGAAATGTGTGTAGCTATGTTTTGCTAAAACTTCATTTACAAAACCACATGAACTGCAGTTTGCTGACCCCTAATCTAGAATAAAATCTCAATAAATGGACACTCAAAATGAAATGTTATAAAGGAACCAGTCATTCAGTAACTTAAGTAACAAATCTATTGAATGTGTGCTCTTTGCCAAACTGAGAGCTAAATGGTTAATTAAATTATGGAGTATCCACTCATTGTCATATTAAGATCATTGAAAATGATTATTTTGAAGACAAAGCAACATGGGAAAATGCTTTTAAGTGGGAAACAAGATAAAAGTTTGTTTGTATCTTAAATACAGACTACTGGAAGGAATGCATGAATTTTTGTTAGGTAGAAGGATCTTTTTTTTTTTAATTTTTTAATATTTATTTTTGAGAGAGAGCAAGAGAGAGAGACAGAGCATGAGCATGGGAGGGGCAGAGGGAGTGGAAGACAGAATCTGAAGCAGGCTCCAGGCTCTGAGCTGTCAGCACAGAGCCTGATGCTGGGCTCGAGCGCACAAGCCATGAGCTCATGACCTGAGCTGAAGTTGGATGCTTAACTGACTGAGCCACCCAGGTGCCCCTAGAAGATCTTTTTCTCTTTTTAAATTGTCTTCAGTGTTTCTGTATTCCAAAAGAAACTTAAAAATAGTGTAATGAGATACCAATTAAAGCTATTGGTTTTTACCACTACTATGTTGTATGAAAAAGGGAAGCTTTAAGAGCTATTGTTCAGCAAAATTCTGCAGCCTTTTTACTTAATCAGGATAAAATTGACATTTGAGGAAGATGCGTTGCCACTCTGTTCAAGATATATTGTCATTTCTGGGGCGCCTGGGTGGCGCAGTCGGTTAAGCGTCCGACTTCAGCCAGGTCACGATCTCACGGTCCATGAGTTCGAGCCCCGCGTCAGGCTCTGGGCTGATGGCTCAGAGCCTGGAGCCTGTTTCCGATTCTGTGTCTCCCTCTCTCTCTGCCCCTCCCCCGTTCATGCTCTGTCTCTGTCTGTCCCATAAATAAAAATAAAAACGTTGAAAAAAAAATTAAAAAAAAAAAAGATATATTGTCATTTCTTTTTAAAATTTTATATTATAACAGTGCCCTTATGTGTGCCATTTGCTGTATTTACTTACCAGAAAAGAGAATGGTGAGTATTTTTATTCCACTTTTACTACATTTATTCTGTGGAATTAACATTTCTTTTTTTTTTTTTAATATGAAATTTACGGTCAAATTTGTTTCCATACAACACCCAGTGCTCCTCCCAACAGGTGCCCTCCTCAATGCCCATCACCCACCCTCTCCTCCCTCCCACTCCCCATCAACCCTCAGTTTATTCTGTTTTTAAGAGTCTCTTATGGTTTGCCTCCCACCCTCTCACTTTTTTTCCCTTTCCCCTCCCCCATGGTCTTCTGTTAAGTTTTTCAGGATCCACATAAGAGTGAAAACATATGGTATCTGTCTTTCTCTGTATGACTTATTTCACTTAGCATAACACTCTCCAGTTCCATCCACATTGCCACAAAAGGCCAGATTTCATTCTTTCTCATGGTCAAGTAGTATTCCATCGTATATATAAACCACAACTTCTGTATCCATTCCTTGGTCGATGGACATTTAGGCTCTTTCCATAATTTGGCTATTGTTGAAAGTGCTACCATAAACATTGGGGTACAAGTGTCCCTATTCAACAGCACTCCTGTATCCCTTGGGTAAATTCCTAGCAGTGCTATTGCTGGGTCATAGGGTAGATCTATTTTTAATTTTTTGAGGAATCTCCACATTGTTTTCCAGAGTAGCTGTACCAGTTTTCATTCCCACCAACAGTGCAAGAGGGTTCCCGTTTTTCCACATCTTCGCCAGCATCTATAGTCTCCTGATTTGTTCATTTTAGCCACTCTGACTGACGTGAGGTGGTATCTGAGTGTGCTTTTGATTTGTATTTCCCTGATGAAGAGCGACGTTGAGCATCTTTTCATGTGCTTGTTGGTCATCTGGATGTCTTCTTTAGAGAAGTGTCTACTCATGTTTTCTGCCCATTTCTTCAGTGGATTATTTGTTTTTTGGGTGTGGAGTTTGGTGAGCTCTTTATAGATTTTGGATACTAGCCCTTTGTCCGATATGTCATTTGCAAATATCTTTTCTCATTCCGTTGGTTGCCTTTTAGTTTTGTTGGTTATTTCCTTTGCAGTGCAGAAGCTTTTTATCTTCATGAGGTCCCAATAGTTCATTTTTGCTTTTAATTCCCTTGCCTTTGGGGATGTGTCAAGAAATTGCTGCTGCTGAGGTCAGAGAGGCTTTTTCCTGCTTTCTCCTCTAGGGTTTTGATGTTTTCCTGTCTCACATTCAGGTCCTTTATCCATTTTGAGTTTATTTTTGTGAGTGGTGCAAGAAATTGGTCTAGTTTCCTCCTTCTGCATGTTGCTGTCCAGTTCTCCCAGCACCATTTGTTAAAGAGACTGTCTTTTTTCCATTGAATAATCTTTGCTGCTTTGTCAAAGTTGGCCATACTTTTGTGGGTCTAATTCTGGGGTTTCTATTCTATTCCATTGGTCTATGTGTCTGTTTTTGTGCCAATACCATGCTGTCTTGATGATGACAGCTTTGTAGTAGAGGCTAAGGTCTGGGATTGTGATGTCTCCCACTTTGGTCTTCTTCAAAATTACTTTGGCTATTCGGGGTCTTCTGTGGATTTTAGGATTTGTGAATTTTAGGATTGCTTGTTCTAGCTTCAAGAAGAATGCTGGTGCAAGTTTGATTGGGATTGCATTGATGTGTAGATTGCTTTGGGTGGTATTGACATTTTAACAATATTTATTCTTCCAATCCATGAGCACGGAATGTTTTTCCATTTCTTTATATCTTCTTCAGTTTCCTTCATAATATTTCTATGGTTCTCAGCATACAGATCTTTTGCATCTTTGGTTAGGTTTATTCCTAGGTATTTTATGCTTCTTGGTGCAGTTGTGAATGGGATCAGTTTTTTTATTTGTCTTTCTGTTGTTTCATTATTAGTGTATAAGAATACAACTGATTTCTGTACATTGATTTTGTATCCTGTGACTTTGCTGAATTCATGTGTCAGTTCTAGCAGACTTTTGGTGGAGTCTATCGGATTTTCCATGTATAATATCATGTCATCTGCAAAAAGTGAAAGCTTGACTTCATCTTTGCCAATTTTGATGCCTTTGATTTTCTTTTGTTGCCTGATTGCAACACTATGTTAAACAATAGTGGTGGGAGTGGACATCCTTGTCTTGTTCCTGATCTCAGGGGAAATTTTTCAGTTTTTCCCCATTGAGGACGATATTAGCTGTGGGCTTTTCATAAATGGCTTTTATGATGTTTAAGAATGTTTCTTCTATCCCGACTTTCTCGAGGGTTTTTATTAAGAAACGTTGCTGAATTTTGTCAAATGCTTTTTCTGCATCGATTGACAGGATCATATGGTTCTTAACTTTTCTTTTGTTAATGTGATGTGTCACATTGATTGATTTGCGAATGTTGAACCAGCCCTGCAGCCCAGGAATGAATCCTTGATCATGGTGAGTAATTCTTTTTATATGCTGTTGAATTCGATTGCTAGTATCTTATTGAGAATTTTTTCATCCATATTCATCAGGGATATTGGCCTGTAGTTCTCTTTTTTTTTTGCGGGGTCTCTGTCTGGTTTGGGAATCAAAGGAATGCTGGCTTCATAGAATGAGTCTGGAAGTTTTCCGTCCCTTTCTATCTTTTGCAACAGCTTGAGAAGGATAAGTATTATCTCTGCTTTAAATGTCTGGTAGAATTCCTCTGGGAAGGCACCTAGTCCTGGACTCTTATTTGTTGGGAGATTTTTGATAACTGATTCAATTTCTTCGCTGGTTATGGGTTTGTTCAAGTTTTCTGTTTTTTCCTGTTTGAGTTTTGGAAGTGTGTGGGTGCTTAGGAATTTGTCCATTTCTTCCAGGTTGTCCAATTTGTTGGCATATAATTTTTCATAGTATTCCCTGATAATTGCTTGTCTTTCTGAGGGATTGGTTGTAATAATTCCATTTTCATTCATGATTTTATCTATTTGGGTCATCTCCCTTTTCTTTTTGAGAAGCCTGGCTAGAGGTTTATCAATTTTGCTTATTTTTTCAAAAAACCAACTCTTGGTTTCATTGATCTGCTCTATAGTTTTTTTAGATTCTGTATTATTTATTTCTGTTCTGATCTTTATTATTTGTCTTCTGCTGGGTTTGGGGTGTCTTTGCTGTTCTGCTTCTATTTCCTTTAGGAAAACCGTTATCTCTCTATTCTTAATGACAGACTTGTTGGACAAAGGATTCTTGGCTGCATATATTTTCTGTTCATCACATTGAAGATTTTCTGCCATTCCTTTCTGGCCTGCCAAGTTTCAGTAGATAGGTCTGCCACTAGTCTTATGGGTCTCCCTTTGTAAGTTAGGGCCTGTTTGTCCCTAGCTGCTTTCAGAATTTGCTCTTTATCCTTGTATTTTGCCAGTTTCACTATGATATGTCATGCAGAAGATCGATTCAAGTTAAGTCTGAAGGGAGTTCTCTGTGCCTCTTGGATTTCAATACCTTTTTCCTTCCCCAGATGAGGGAAGTTGTCAGCTATGATTTGTTCAAGTACACCTTCAGCCCCTTTCTCTCTCTCTTCCTCTTCTGGAATTCCTATGATACAGATATTGTTCTGTTTGATTGCATCACTTAGTTCTCTAATTCTTTCCTCATACTCCTGGATTTTTTTCTCTCTCTTTTTCTCAGCTTCCTCTTTGTCCATAATTTTATCTTCTAATTCACCTATTCTCTCCTCTGCCTCTTCCATCCATGCTGTGGTCACCTCCATTTTATTTTGCACCTCATTTATAGCATTTTTAGTTCCTCATGACTATTTTTTAGTCCCTTGATCTCTGTAGCAAGATCCTCTATGCTTTATTCAAGCCCAGTGATTAATTTTATGACTAGTATTCTAAATTCTTGTTCCGTTATATTGCTTAAATAGTTTTTGATCAATTCGTTAGCTGTCACTACTTCCTGGAGTTTCTTTCGAGGAGAATTCTTCCGTTTTATCATTTAGGTTAGTCCCTGCAGTATGTCCAAACTGCAGGGCACTTCCCTTGTGCTGTGCAGACTAACTTGTGTAGGTGGGTGGGGCCACAGTCAGACCCGATGTCTGTCCCCAGCCCACCACTGGGGCCACAGTCAGACTGGTGTGTACCTTATGTTCCCCTCTCCCAGGGGCAAGACTCACTGTGGAGTGGTGTGGCCCCTGTGTGGGCTGCTTGCACACTGACAGGCTTGTGGTGCTGCTACGGTGGGATCTGGCCAAGGGCATATTAGACGGGGTGGATCTGCAAGGTGCTCTGGTGGGAGGGGCAGGCTTAGCTCGCTTTGCTGTCTGTGGTCCCCTTGGGAGGGTCCCTGCAGCACCGGGGGTGGGGGGTGGGGAAACAGGCCTGTGGGAGGGATGGATCCACAGAAGCAAAGCATTGGGTGTTTGCGTGGTGCAAGCAAGTTTAGTGATGAGAACTGGTTCCCTTTGGAATTTCTGCTGGGGGATGGAAGAGGGAAATGGCTCTTGCCAGTACCTTTGTTCCCCTGCTGAGCTCTGTCCTTCCAGGGCTCAACAACTCTCCCTCCTGGTGTCCTCTCGCCCTCCCACCCTCCGAGAGCAGAGCTGTTGACTTTTAACATTCTAGATGTTAAGTCCCGCTGGCTGTCAGAACTCATGGAGTCTGCCCCCTCTGCTTTTGCAAGCCAGACTTCGGTGGCTCTGCCTTGCCGGGTGGGCTGCCCCTCCACTGCCCTGGCTTCCTCCTGGCAGTCCTTGTAGCACGCACTGCCTCTTCACCCTTCCTACCCTCTTCTGTGGGCCTCTTGTCTATGCTTGGCTCTGGAGAGTTCGTTCTGCTAGTCTTGCAGCGGTTTTCTGGGTTATTTAAGCGGATGTTGGTGGAATCTAAGCAATCAGCAGGAGGTTATCACAGTGTCCTTCTAGGCCACCATCGTCCTCTCTGTTCGACAGAGTATCTGGAATTAACATTTCTATTGGCCTTTATAAAGTTAACTGGTAGCATTAGTTCAATGACAAGATTTTGTGGGAATTATTTTTTGTGCTTTTATCTAAGAGTGTCTGCTTAATGGTTTAATTGAACAGAGTGTTTATATTTTTGATGTGTTGTACGAAGATGTTTTATGAACCACGTGGTTTGTTTTTATTATGAACCTCATGCATTGTACTTTTCTTTATCTTTTCTAGTCAAACCATTTCGTGTGAGAAAACTGCTTGGTCTTCAGGCCAAAATGGTGAGTACCAAAAAGACCTAAAATTGGCCAGTGTATCTGTGCTAGGTACTGAGTTGAGCTTTGGAGATATAAATTGATTGAATCATGATCTTCAGGGAGCTTATTATCTGCTGAGCTTTGAAAACAAAATAAAAAAAATCAGAAATAGATGAGGGTCAAGGAGGAGTGGTAATTCTTAAGAGAAATTTTAAGAGATTAATAGGATTTAACCAGGCCAAGAAGGAAGAGAAGGGCACTCCTGGCGGTGGGAACAACATAAGAAAAGACATATATAGATGTTAAGCAGCAAGACTGTTTAGGAAACTGTGTTGTTATGGCTGGAAAATAAGTGTTGGAGAGTAGTCAAAAATGACTACTTTATTAAAGTAAAGTATTAGTTTATTTATTTATGTTTTTGTGGATGTGATCTAGGAAAGCATTCCTTTCTTGACACATAGACTTTAGTATATTCCCTGACCATTATCTCTTATCCTTACAGCTTTCTTGCATTGTTATTTTCACTATACCTGCCTGGTAACAAGTCTGTGAAGTTTTGGGTATAAATCAGTAGGAAGTTGTAGTGCCTGTCTTAACTGCTGAAGCCTGCATGACCTACCAAAAGGCATGCAAGTTTAATGAAAAATACAAACAAATGTGCACATACATGCTTCTCCAGTGTGAGGTTTCCCATTAGTACAATTCAATGATTGTTCTTGTTTTTACATTTGTTTTTTTTAACGTTTATTTATTTTTGAGAGAGAAAGAGACAGAGCATGAGTGGGGTAGGGGCAGAGAGAGAGAGAAAGTGGGAGACACAGACTCCAAACAAGCTCCAGGCTCGGAGCTGTTAGCACAGAGCCCGATGCGGGGCTCAAACTCACAAACCGTGAGATCATGACCTGAACTGAAGTCAGATGTTTAACTGACTGAGCCACCCAGGCACCCTTGATTGTTCTTGTTTAATAGCTTCCTGTTTTCATTGTGTCAGTCCAATGTCTTCTCTTAGCTCTCTGAATATATTAATTATCATGTTTTTGTCCAAGTTGAATTTTATTTTACAGTAATATAAATTGTGAAAAAGTTATAAAGTTTCTTCATGTTAACAGCAAAGCATTTCAATGGAATAAGAAAATTCTTAGCATAAGTAAGATATTGCTGATTTGGGGGGGTGCCTGGGTGACTCAGTCATTTAAACATCCAACCGTTGATTTCAGCTCAGGTCATGATCTCACAGCTTGTGGAATTGAGCCTCAAGTCGGGCTGTGCACTGACAGTATGGAGCCAGCTTGGGATCCTTTCTCTCCCTCTCTCTCTGTCCCTCCCCCCTCGCACTCCCTCTCTTTCTCTCAAGATAAATAAACTTAAAAAAGATCTTGCTGATGTATTAATTGAAACAATAGTGTTATGTTCAAGTTTAAAAAATGGTTTAGTACATGATTGTGTAAAATTTTTTTTTTATTTTTTCTAATGTTTATTTTTGAGAGAGAGAGACAGAATGTGAGTAGGGGAAGGGCAGAGAGACAGAGAGGGAGACACAGAATCTGAAGCAGGCTCCAGGTTCTGAGCTGTCAGCACAGAGCCCAACATGTGGCTTGAACTCATGGACCATGAGATTGTGACCTGAGCTGAAGTTGGATGCTTAACCGACTGAGCCACCCAGGTGCCCCTGATTGTGTAAAAATTTTAAACCCAGACATTAAATATATGGCTTCATTAATAACATTTTATATAGTACATTATTATTCCATTATCCATGCCCATTTATAAAGATTCGTTTATTTTTTATTTTTTTAAATACTTCTTTTGAGAGAGACAGAGAGAGAAGGAGAGTGAGAACGTGCATGCTTGTAAGTGGGAGACGGGGAGAGAAAGGGAGAGAGAATCCAAAGAAAGGGAGAGTGAATATCAAGGCTCCATGCTCAGAGAACCTGAGGCAAGGCTCATTCTCACCACCACGAGATCATGACCTAAACCAATATCAAGAGTCAGATGCTCAACCAACTGAGCCACCTAGGCAGCCATATAAAGAGGCATTTAGAATTGTTTTGATTACCTGAATTTTGATGATTTTGGTCAAGTCCAACAGTATCAAACCAAGAAATCGTGGCTGTGCTTACATGTAGCACAACGTGTATAGCAGTAACAGGCATAATCTGTGTGTTTGAGAAAATATATTGGATATATGGATTTCTGACACCTGCAAAGGCATGTAACCTCTCTATACCCATTCATACCCTATAACTCCTGATCTGTGAAAGAAACAAAATACAGCAACTGTCTTTGTGGTGGCAGGCATGACTGGTGGGAAGTGGTGCAGGCATGTTGTTATCATATATACACCAGGCCCTGTTGAGAACAGTCTTTGGAACAGGGGTGGGGAGTTGGTGAGGATGGTTTCTAGGATTGTACCCTCTGCTAGGCGTGAGCCTATGTGACTTTGGCTGTGATTCTTTTCCTGTTTCCAGCTTGGTCTCTTGTTTCCTCAGAGTTCCTTTCTTTAGTTAATTTGGTGCTTCACAGTAGAGGCTTTTCTCAAATGCCTGGAAAACGTTGTTTGTCCATATTTAATAATAAAGAACTAAAATGGTGATTGGAAACTTTTGCATGTGAGCAGGTCTTGTTCATTGCTGGATCTTGATGTTTCACTGGGGAGCCCCACAGATTGCTGTGTCACTTTTCCCAGAGAGGAATCCTCTTGTTTCCTGCCTAGGGCATATATTAGTCAGGCTTCTCCATAAGCAGAATCAATAGGATGTGTGTATAGATATGTAGAAAGATATTTATTATAAGGAATTGGCTTGCATGATTATGAAGCTAGGAAGCCAATAATCTGCAGGGTGGGCCAGCAGGCTGGAGACCCTGGAGAGCTGATGTCTCAGTTTTAGTCCAAAGACAGTCTCCTGTAGAACCAGAAAGAGCCAGTGTTACAGGTGAAGTCTGAAGGCAGGCTGCTAAGAATTCTCTCTTGCTTGAGGGAGGCTGGTCTTTTTGTTCTTTATAGGCCTTCAACTGATTGAATGAGGTCCACCCACTTTATGGAGGACAATCTACTCAAAGTCTACCAATTTAAAATCTAAAACACCCTCACAGAAACACCCAAAATAATGTTTGACTAAGTATCTGGGCACTCTGGACCAGCCAAGTTGACACATACAGTTAACCATCACAGGTTATCAGCTTGGTTCCTAGCACTCTGGGTTGCAGGCAGTGGAAAGGGGTGAGGAAGGGTCCTGGTACCCTCCCTCAGCTGTGCCTGTTATCTAATTCCAGTTTCATTTTAAGAGAGTAAAATCTTGATGTTTGTTAGTGTGGTGAAGGAATTTGGGGTTCTAATTGCTTCTTACTTAGATTTTCAACCAATCCCCCTGTTTGTTGCCTTTCTTGCACTTCTGCTGCCCCCACTTTTCAGAGGTATCTCGTCCCTCAAATTCCTGAGTCCTTTTGAGAGTTCTAAAACATGAATCTGCTGCTTTTGAGCCTTTTTCTGTTACTACCTTAGATTTTGTTTTCTCTGTTTTGCCAAGTTGGTTACTATTTGTCCATTTTTATTCTAGGTTCCAAAATCTTGTTGGGATGTCTCATTTGCTGTTGTATCCTCTCTTGTTTTCTTTGAACTTGTGCTTTATGCCTTTTTCATTCCTTTACTTTTTAGTGGGGCTTTGGGAGGACCCAGAGTTAAACATCTATTTTCAATATGTCACATTTAACTGGAATTCTTTTTAAAAAAGAAAAGAGTGTTAACTTTTTTTTTTTTTTAATTTTTTTTCCCAACGTTTATTTATTTTTGGGACAGAGAGAGACAGAGCATGAATGGGCGTGGGGCAGAGAGAGAGGGAGACACAGAATCGGAAACAGGCTCCAGGCTCTGAGCCATCAGCCCAGAGCCCGATGCGGGGCTCAAACTCACAGACCGCGAGATCGTGACCTGGCTGAAGTCGGACGCTTAACCGACTGCGCCACCCAGGCGCCCCGAGTGTTAACTTTTTAACAACAAAGATATGTTTAGTTAACTAGACAGTACGTTCTAAAGGTCTCTCCTCTACTAAATATTTTCTCTATCAAAAAGCATTCCAACTCAAAGCAAACTCTGATACTAATTGACAGTACAGAGATCAGAAGATATTTTGGTGTAGATAAATTGGATTATTTTGGTTTTGTTATAACAAATTTAATTTCAAGAAGCTGTTACAAAAATAGGAACACTGTATTTCTAAGCCCCAATTTCTGCCTGTCTTATTTTGTACAATATTTGATTCAACAAAATTGTAATATAACAAAACAATTTGGTTATTTCCTTGGAATTCATTAAAAATTTTTTTAAATATTTTTTTGAGAGAGACAGAGACAGAACATGAGCAGGGGAGGGGCAGAGAGATAGAGGGAGATATAGGATTTGAAGCAGGCTCTAGTCTCTGAGCTGTCAGCACAGAGCCTGATGCAGGGCTTGAACTCACGAAATGTGAGATCATGACCTGAGCCAAAGTCAGACACTTAGCTGACTGAGCCACTCAGGTGCCCCTTCTTGGAATTCATTTTAGTAGTATGCTTTCTCTGGATAGCCAGATATGTCTACCTGGATAGCCAGGTGTCCAGCAGTAATGACTTCTGTCATTCTAAAATTAATATTTTTGTTAAGACTTGTTTTAGTCGTATCAAGCTGCTTGACTACTGCGTACCTGTTGTTGGATTTCCTAGTTAATTTTCCAGGAATTATGATAACGTATTAATATTTCCTTGCCCTGTTTTCTTAGTTTCCCTTTTTGTCTTCCCACCTTTCTGTCTAAATCAAAAATGAGTCAACTTTGAGTCCTGAGTATGCTACCAGTGAAAGTAAGCCATGCTAGTAAGTATGACTGTAGACCTAAGGCATGGGCATAGAAGACAAGATAAAATATTAAGGAAAAAGTAAAAAAGAAAAGGTCATAAAAGAAGTCCACAGGCTCATGAGGGTAGTTTTATGATAGTTGACTTAAAATGTCTGATTATTTATTCTTTGATTTTTTATAGCATCTTCCAATAGCCATATCACATAGTAAAATTAGGGTTGGAATATATGTTTAATCTGTTTATTTTATTGTTACTTTTCTTTCTTATACCAAAGAATTGAAAATTGAGAACTCTTATTTCATTTCAGGGAATGCAGCCTCACCTCCAGGCTTTGTTATCGCTGTATAAGTTCTTTGCTCCTACTTTGATTTCTGTATCTTTGCCTGCAAGGAAAAAGGTGAGGGATTAAAGAGTGATAAGTCATATTGAGATCGAAATATTTTTATTAAGTTAATTTACAGATTTGAAATGAAATGTTTACAGCATACTGTTTTATTTTTTTCTTAATGTTTATTTATTTTTGAGAGAGAGAAACAGAGTGAAAGCGGGGGGGGGGGGCAGAGAGAGAGGGAGACACAGAATCCTAAGCAGGCTCCAGGCTTTGAGCTGTCAGCACAGAACCCGATGTGGGGCTTAAACCAATGAGCTGTGAGATCATGACCTGAGCTGAAGACAGACACTTAACTGACTGAGCCACCCAGGCACCCCCTACAGCATACCGTTTTAAAATCTAGTATTATGGCATTGTTTCTAGGAAGTTTTCTAAGGGATTGGCATTTTGTTTTAATTCTATTTAATGTATAAAATAGATTCTTGATCAGGAAAGAACCATTTGCATGGCAGAGAAATGTATCATAATTAATACATTTTCAATTAAGAATTTTGTATTTTATATTGCTTCATGTTATGGGTACCTATTTATGTACTTTAATCCAATTTTCTTGTAGATTTATTTTAGGAATTCAGAGAATCTGTGGGAGACAGCTCTACTTGCTGTGAGGCAAAGGATTCAGGGACCCCCTCCTGAACCTGTAAAATTAATGTTAGGTCCAGCTAATGTCCATCCTGTAAAAAGAGTAAGTGTCTAAAACTCCAAATGATTTGTGCAGGTTTCTTTTCTTAAAGCCAAACAGTAACCATTCAGATGATTCAAGAGATTATAGAAATTTAAATACATTTTAATTACCTAGAATTCTGTGTGAACCACATTTAGACTTCATTAACTGAACAACTTAACAACTGCTTTTACATTTAGTTTGTAGTCTGTCTAGTCCATTGATAGATTGTTTTACTGTCTTTCTTCTTTAGAAATGGAATTCTTACTCAGTTATACCCATGTTGAATTCTAGTAGCTGCAGTAAAGAATGTGGGAAAAAAGGGATGGCTCTTTCTGATTATCTCCGTAGTAATGGATCATTTCCACTAGAACAGCTTAAAAGCTTCCCTCAACTCTTAAAGAACATCCATTGCTTAGAGGTATGTGACTGGACCATGTGCTTATCTATATTTTCCATTCAATCTTCACAGCCTTTATTTTTATTGTGTATTTCCTATCTGATGATTTCCTTGTTGCTATGTTCCTTTTACTCCTTTTCATATACTTACACTTGATTGTTCTGTCTTTGCAGCTGCCTTCTCAGATGGGTGCAGTGTTGAACAACTCTCTGCTGCTTCACTATATTAACATTGTCAAAGATGAGTCCATCTTACTGAGACTCTATCACTGGTTGAGTCAAACATTACAGGAAGGTAAAAATTGATATTTAAACTCATTGATTGCATGAGGAGGGAACCAAATAGCTTATATCTTTTATAAGGGTGACAAATTCTAAATAAGAGGAGCCTTCATATGTTGTAACTATCTCTCTAATAATCATATATTCAGAGCTGGTATGCTTCCTTTATACTAATTTTAAGATACAGTAATAAAGGAGGTATGTTGTTAAGGAAACATTGCTAGATGGCCACCCAAACTCACTGGGTGGCTCCATTTTGATGACCATCACAATCCCAAAACCTCTTCATCTTTGTATGTCCAGAGACTTGCTGTTCAGCCCACAAAATAATCAGATTAATGCTAACCACACTCGAGAAGACTAATACATGTCAGGATATCAACTTACTACTTCATACTAGAAATAATTCTTAAGATGGCAGAACAGCATGGAAGTTTTTTTTATGTCTCTATCCATGAAATACAGCCATATCAACACTAAACCATCCTGCACACCTAGAAAACTGATTTGAGGTTTAAAACAATAATCTGCACAACCTGAACCACAGAACTCCACAGGTACACAGTGTGGAGAGGTGAACTGGGAGAGATAGAAGCCGTGGAGGGAAAGGAGCTGTTTTTGCTTGCAGAGAGAGTACAGAGCTGGGGGAGAGTACAGGAGAAAACAAGCCCCACAAAAGAAGCTGAGGAGGAAGTGGAAATGTGGAAAAAGCCACAGGGACTGAACAAAAAAGGGAGAAAGGAGAAAGAAGAGGGTTTAAATTCCATTAACACTTTATAAACTGGGGGAGTGCAGAGTCTGAAAATCTGCAGCTCAATAACCAGCGATTCTCTGGTGGGACAGGCGAATCCCCAGGAGCAGAGGACCAAATGGGGAGATGCAGTTCCCCTGTTGGGAGGACATTTGGTAGAGGCTGTGTGGCCACCCCAAAGGCAAGGGTCCCAGCGGACCCTGGAGAGCAACCATATTCACTGGTGCTGGAACAAAGACATTAAGGGGGCAGCCTGGTGCCAGATGTGTGTTGTGATTTACCACAGTCCCTGAAACGCTGCTTCTACACAATCGCATAAAGTTTTTCTGGGGCAGGTTGGCACCTAGCTGCAGTCTCTGGGCGTCAGTTGCAGCATGGTCCCGCGAACGTTACTGGGGGCGGGCGGGTACCTGGCCATTGCTCAGTGAGACCCTCTCCCAGACAGTCTGAGCGGGTCAAAGCTGTAGTCCCTCAGAAGTGAGGGGTTGGAAAACACAGCCACATCTGAGATAAAACTCAGGAGGGAGGTGCCGCCTGGCAACCTGATGGCTAGGTCACGGACAGTGTAAAAGCAGGGAGTGGATGGAAGCTGGAGACAAAGGAGGGGTACACGATTGCTGGTGGGGGAGAGCACAGAATTCTGATACTAGAGACTGGGTAGCTAGGTGACAACATTTTCACCCTTTCCACACATGTACATACACACCTGCAGGTGCCACAGCAATCCACCCCAGTAATCTAAGCAGCACCATCTAGTGGAGAATGGAGCGGTTACACTAAACCCCACCCAACTGGACCAACCTCTCTCTTCAGGAACAACACAAATCTCTCTGCCTGCTTAGTATATGGACTATAAAGTGCTTCATAGTTGCCTTCTAGGGGAAACCGATGTAATTTCGATCATACTTCTGTCTGTTTGCTGGTCCATCTATTCAATGTTTTTCTTTTCTTATTCTTGAATACAAAAAGAGAAAAAATATATTTTTATTTCCCATTTCTATTAAAATATTTTTCTTTAAATTTTTTTCTATTTTTTACTTTTTGTAAATATTTCAAATTCTGTTTTTTTACTTCCACCATTTCATTTTATTCTATTTCATTGCATTCATTTTTTTCAAATTTTCAAACATTTTCCTTTTTTCTTCTTATCTTTCCCTTTTTTCTCTAATCTGTCAAGCTCCTATCACAAACAATACCATAACACACCTAGGATCTAGCATCCTTTATTTGATTTTTTTATGTTGTTTTTAATTTTTTAATTCTAATTTTTTTAACTTTATTAATTACTTTTCTTCCTTCAAATTGACGAAACGAATGAAATCGCCCCAAAAGAAACAACAGGGAGAAATGACAGCCAGGGACTTAACACAGATAAAAACAAGATGTCTGAACCACAGTTCAGAATCACAATAATAATACTAGCTGGGATTGAAAACAGATTAGAATCCCTTTCTGCAGAGTTAAAAGCTACTCAGGATGAAATAAAAAATGCTATAACTGAGCTGCAATCTCGAATGGATGCCACAGTGGCAAGGAGGGATGAGACAGAGCAGCAAATCAGCAATATAGAGGACAAACTTATGGAGACCACTGAATCAGGAAAAAAGAGGGAAACTAAGGAAAAAGAGCATGATTTAAGAATTAGAGAAATCAGTGACTCATTAAAAAGGAACAACATCAGAATAATAGGGGTCCCAGAAGAGGAAGAGAGAGAAATACGGGTAGAAGAGTTATGTGAGCAAATCATAGCAGAAAAGTTTCCTAACCTGGGGAAAGACACAGACATCAAAATACAGGAAGCACAGAGAACCCCCATTAGATTCAGCAAAAACCGACCATCAACAAGGCATATCATAGTCAAATTCACAAAATACTCAGGCAAGGAAAGAATCATGAAAGTAGCAAGGGAAAAAAGTCCTTAACCTACAAGGGAAGACAGATCAGGTTTGCAGGAGACCTATCCACCGAAACATGGCAGGCCAGAAAGGAGTGGCAGGATATATTCAATGTGCTGAATCAGAAAAATATGCAGCCAACAATTCTTTATCCAGCAAGGCTGTCATTCAAAACAGAGGGAGAGATAAAAAGTTTCCCAGACAAACAAAAATGAAGAGTTAGTGACCACTAAACCAGCCCTGCAAGAAATTTTAAGGGGACTCTCTGAGGGGGGGAAAGACAAAAAAAAAAAAAAAAAGACCAAAAGCAACAAAGACTAGAAAGGGCAAGAGAACATCATCAGAAACTCCAACTCTAGAGGCACCATAGTGGCAATAAATGCATATCTTTTAGTACTCACTCTAAACGTCAGTGGACTAAATGCTCCAATCAAAAGACATAGGGTAACAGAATGGATAAGAAAATAAGATCCATCTATGTAGTGTTTACAAGACCCACTTTAGACCTAATGACACTTTCAGATTGAAAGTAAGGGAATGGAGAACCATCTATCATGCTAGTGGTCGACAAAGGAAAGCTGGAGTAGCCATACTTATATCAGACAATCTGGACTTTAAAATAAAGACTGTCACAAGAGATGAAGAAGGGCATTATATCATAATTAAGGAGTCTATCCACCAAAAAGTTCTAACAATTGTAAACAATTATGCTCCAAATGTGGAAGTACCCAAATATATAAATCAGTTAATCACAAACATAAAGAAACTCATTGATAACAATACCATAATAGTAGGGGACTTCAACACCCCACTTACAACAATGGACAGATCATCTCAACAGAAAATCAAGAAGGAAACAATGGCTTTGAATCACACACTGGACCACATGGCCTTAGCAGATATATTCATAACATTTCATCCTAGAGCATTGGAATACACATTCTTCTCCAGTGCACATGGAACATTCTCCAGAATAGATCACATACTGGGACACAAATCAGCCCTCAACAAGTACAAAATGATCGAGATCATACTGTGCATATTTTTAGACTACAACACTGTGCAACTCGAAATCAACCTCAAGGAAAAATGTGGAAAGGTAACAAATACTGGAAGACTAAAGAACATCCTACTAAAGAATGAATGGGCTAACTAAGAAGTAAAAGAGAAAACTAAAAAGTTCGTGGAAGCCAATGTGATAACACCACAACCCAAAACATCTGGGCTACAGCAAAGGTGGTCATAAGAGGGAAGTATATAGCACTCCAGGCCTGCCTAAAGAAGGAAGAAAGATCTCAGATACACAACCTTACCTTACACTTTAAACAGCTGGAAAAAGAACAGCAAATAAAACCCAAAACCAGCAGAAGACAGGAAATAATAAAGATTACAGCAGAAATCAATGCTATCAAAACCAAAAAAACCCCAGTAGAACAGATTAATGAAACCAGAAACTGGTTCTTTGAAAGAATTAACAAAATTGATAAACCCCTAGCCAGTTTGATCAAAAAGTAAAAGGAAAGGACCGAATAAATAAAATCAAGAATGACATAGGAGATCACAACCAACACAGCAGAAATACAATAATAAGGGAATATTATGAACAATTATACACCAATAAAATGGGCAATCTGGAAGAAATTGACCAATTCCTTGAAACATATGCACTATCAAAACAAACAGGAAGAAATAGAAAATTTTAACAGATCCATAACCAGTAATGAAATTGAATTAATAATCAAAAATCTCCCAAAGAACAAGAGTCCAGGGCCAGACGGCTTTCCATGGGAATTCCAGCGAACATTTAAGGAAGAGTTAACACCTATTCTCTTGAAGCTGTTCCAAAAAATAGAAATGGAAGGCAAACTTCCAAACTCTTTGTATGTAGCCAGCATTACCTTGATTCCAAAACCAGACAAAGACTCTACTAAAAAGGAGAACTATAGACCAATTTCCTTGATGAACATGGACACAAAAATCCTCAACAAGATACTAGCCAACCGGATCCAATGATACATTAAAAAAATTATTCACCATGACCAAGTGGGATTTATACCTGGATTCAGGGCTGGCTCAATATCCACAAAACAATCAATGAGATACATCACATCAATAAAAGAAAGGACAAGATCCTCTCAATAGATGCAGAGAAAGCATTTGCCAAAATACAGCATCCTTTCTTGATAAAAACCCTCAAGAAAGTAGGGATAGAAAGATCATACCTTGAGATCATAAAAGCCATATATAAAACCCCCACTGCTAATATCCCCAATGGGGAAAAACTGAGAGCTTTCCCCTAAGGAACAAGACAGGGATGTCCACTCTTGCCACTGTTATTCATCATAGTATTGGAAGTCTTAGCCTCAGCATTCAGACAACACAAAGAAATAAGAGGCATCCAAATCAGCCAGGAGGAGTTCAGACTTTAGCTCTTTGCAGATGACATGATGGTGTATATGGAAAACCCAAAAGATTCCACCAAAAAAAAAAAATGGCTAGAACTGATCCATGAATTCCCCAAAAGATTCCACCAAAAGAATGGCTAGAACTGATCCATGAATTCAGCAAAGTTGCAGGATATAAAACCAATGCACAGAAATCAGTTGCATTCCTATACACCAACAATGAAGCAACAGAAAGAGAAATCAAGGAATTGATCCCATTTACAATTGCACCAAAACCCATAAAATACCTAGGAATAAATCTAACCAAAGAGGTAAAAAAATGTATACACCGAAAACTATAGAAAGCTTATGAAAGAAGTGGAAGAAGACACAACAAAATGGAAAAATATTCTATGCTCCTGGGAAGGAAGAACAAATATTGTTAAAATGTCAATACTACCTAAAGCAATCTACGTATTCAATGCAATCCCTATCAAAATAACACAGGCATTCTACACAGAGCCAGAACAAACAATCCTAAAATTTGTATGGCATCAGAAAAGACCCCAAATAGGCAAAGTAATCTAGAAGAAGAAAACCAATGCAGGAGGCATCACAGTTTCAGGCTTCAAGGTGTATTACAATGCTGTCATCATCAAGACACTATGTCACTGGCACAAGAACAGACACTCTGATCAATGGAAGAGAATAGGGAACCCAGAAATGGACCCAAAACGTATGGCCAACTAATTTTTGACAACCCAGGAAAGATTATCCAATGAAATAAAGACAGTATCTTCAACAAGTGGTGCAGGGAAAACTGGACAATCACATGCAGAAAAATGAACCTGGACCACTTTCTTACACAATACACAAGAAAAACCTCAAAATGGATGAAAGACCTAAACGTAGGACAGGAAATCATGAAAATCCTAGAAGAGAAAACATGCAAACACTCCTTTGACCTCAGCTGCAGCAACTTCTCAACACGTCTCTGGAGGCAAGGGAAACAAAAGCAAAAATGAATTATTGGGACCTCATGAAAATAAATCTGCATATTAAAAGAAACAATCAGCAAATCTGAAAGGCAACTGACAGAATGGGAGAAGATATTTGCAAATGACATATCAGAAAAAAGGTTAGTATCCAAAATCTATAAAGAACTTACCAACTCAACACCCAAAAAACAAATAAGCCAGTGAAGAAATGGGAAAAAGACATGAATAGACACTTCTCCAAAGAGGACATCCAGATGGCCAACCGACACATGAAAAAATGCTCAACGTCACTCGTCATCAGAGAAATACAAATCAAAACCACAATGAGATACCACCTCACACCTGTCAGAATGGCTAACATTAACAACTCAGGCAACAATAGATGTTGGCGAGGATGTAGGGAAAGAGGGTCTCTTTTCCACTGCTTGTGGGAATGCAAACTGGTGCAGCCACTCTGGAAAACAGTATGGCAGTTCCTCAAAAAATTAAAAGTAGAACTACCCTGTGACCCAGCAATTGCACTACTAGGTATTTATCCAAGGGATACAGGTATGCTGTTTCAAAGGGGCACATGCACCCCAGTGTTTATAACAGCACTATCAACAATAGCCAAAGTATGGAAAGAGCCCAAATGCGCATCGATGGATGAATGGATAAAGAAGATGTGGCATATATATATGTACACACACACATATATATATATGATGGGGTATTGCTCGTCAATCAAAACGAATGAAATCATGCCATTTGCAACTCCATGGAACTAGAGGGTATTATGCTGAGCAAAATTAGCCCATCATAAACAAATATCATATGACTTCACTCATATGAGGACTTTAAGATATAAAACAGATGAGCATAAGGGAAGGGAAGCAAAAATAATATAAAAACAGGGAGGGGGACAAAACAGAAGAGACTCTTAAATATGGAGAGTAAACAGGGTTGCTGGAGGGGTTGTGGGAGGGGCGATAGGCTCAATGGGTAAGTGGCATTAAGGAATCTACTCCTGAAACCATTATTGCAGTATATGCTAAATAACTTGGATGTAAATTTAAAAAATTAAAAAAAGAATTATTTTTGGTAACATGTTCATGTTACATATTTCTGCCAACAATAATATCTCATCTCTGCTGTCAGTGTAGATGGGAGCCAAATTAGTCATCGGAAGAGTTCTTAATTACAGAATTGAAGGAAAGAGCAGTAAGGGAGTTTTTCATCCAGGCCCTAGTAAGACCTGAGAATTTAATTTTTCCAAGTGGATCAGTTTCTTTAGAGATGGTATTTCTGTTGGCCAGATCATTTCTTTCCTGGGTAAGCAACTCCTGACTTTTTTCTAGTGTTCAAAATTGGTTTTAGTCAGTTCCAGGCTAACTCTCCTTCTCCTGCTCAGTTTTTCTTTAGATAAGATGTGATATTTTATTAGATTACCACTTACTAAAGTCCTACCACTCTGAGATTATCCCCATCTCACCCTAGTTGAAATTTGGGTTATACTTAAACTTTTAATTCACACATTTATACTCTCTTGGACTACTATGTGACTTAAGCTAATCACATTTATTGTATGTTAATTTTACTAGTTTATTTTTTCACTGTAAGATTTCCCTGTGTCATGAAGTTCTTGAGGAACATCGATCTCACTCCTCATAACTGTTACAGTCTGCAGTGCAGGTTGGCTAGGATGTATAAGGATGTATAAGACTGATTACTTGTTTATATTTATCATTTGTCATTTTAGAGTCATGGTAATTATGTTTTGTATAGTTTTTATTGTCATGCAACCAGTTGCTTATGTTTAATATTTCTGCTCCAGAGTGTATTTGGTATAAGGTGAATAATTATGAACATGGAAAAGAATTTGCCAACTTACTGGACACTATCATCAGGGCAGAGTACTTCTTACAAGTAAGATTCCACTTGCTTCATATTCATGCCACCACTTCTTTCTAAAATTTATTTAGATATCCATTGAATACCTTTTCTTTAGTGCTCAGCATCATTTGTAAACCGTATTTACTCATTTCAAAACTCGTTATAAATAGAGTTGAATTGAATTGATGTTTATCTCTGTACTGTTGGATTTGAAGAAAGAATTTGTTAAATCATGCGAATAAGAGAGAAAGGGCTGTAATTTAAGAGAACAAACTGAAGATATAACTGAATGCATTCAATTGAATTCATTGGTAAGATCTCATAGGGTTACTGTGTTTTCATAATCAATAAATATTTTTTAATCTACTAGCCAATTAATTATTTGGCCTATGTAAGTAACCTAGCTGTACTTTAAGCTGCCACTCAGCACCTTCAAGAAGCCTATACTCATTGCCCTAGTCTGGTTTAGATGTTTGTTTTATGTGCTCTTAGTTCACTGTGTTTACCTGTATCCTGTCTCTTGCAGCATCTCTGTTTTCACACATAAGCTCCTGGTCAGGGGGAACTATGTCTAAATTTTCTTCCCATACAATTGCTCATCTTGGTATGTGGTACAAAAAAGATGCCCAATAAATGTGTTGAATAAATCTTAAGGATTTGGTGTGAGGCCAATGAATTGGAAGTTGGATGTGATTTTTATGGTGGTGAGGGTAAAGGGATGAATTTAGGTTGACTTTTAGGTTTCCTGCTTGGGAGGATGATGATGGCATTCAGTGAGAAAGGGAAATGTAGAAGGAACAGTCAGGCTTGGAAGGAAAGAATTTTGACTTAAAAGATGCCTGTTGGATATCTAAAAGGTCATACCCAGTAGGCAGTTAGATAATGAGTCTAGTGCTGAGGAATGAGATTTAAACTACAGGACTCCTCATTATATAGGTGGTGGTTTTAGCTATCTTATAGATGATATTGTCCAGAGAACTCATGTCATGAGAAGGAGGTCTAAGGTGGAGTCCTGGTGCATGCCATTATTTAAGGCTCAGGGCCACACAGGAAAAAAAAAAGGAAAGCCCTGGATCCTCTCTTTGGTGGGAATATAAGCAACATACACATTCAGTATTCCTCCTGATGGAGCTGCCCAGAGTTTGAATTTGGTCTATGGCCTCTAAAGAAATTACAGCCCTGTTATAACATTGTGTACATCTTATTGACTGTGCAAGTGACTGCATATACTCCAGAGTAGTACAATTTCATTTATCTTTAAAAACATTACATAACTTATTTTTTTTACCTTCTTTCTAGTTGATGTTTTATGGTATTTGAAAACTATGTTGGTGAAGATGGTAATGTATCCAAATATGAATCATCTGGTCCTTTTTATGAGGAACTCTGGCACTTAACCCAAGGCTTTTATTATATTGATGACAAAAAAATTTGGTCTAAAAGAACAATAGCACAGAATAAACTGGTTGTTTAGAGAGTAATTATGGACTGAAGAGGTTTATATGAGTTATTACTATGGACTTGTGTTGTAGGAGGGGTTCTATTCCTGTGAAACATTCCTGTATAAGAGCCTTCCTCTCTGGGATGGCCTCTGTTGTCGATCACAGTTCCTTCAGCTTGTGAGCTGGATTCCTTTTAGTAGCTTCTCTGGTATGTATCATGAAAATTTGGAGTCCTTTAATTCATTGTAATATTAATTAAAGGAATCTTGAATAATCTTTTTTCTTCAATTCCTAGAGGTGAAACCACTTCTTTTTGACCATCTAGCACAGCTCTTCTTTATATCAACCATTTATTTCAAGGTAAGAAAATACTGTATTGCTTAGATTAAATAGGAAGTATGGTTTTATGGTCAGTGGTACATGATTCTAAACCCACATTAAAGCAGTGGTTTTCTACCAGGATTCCCTTGGATCTGGATTTGAGATGCTACATCACTCAAGTCAAAGTTAATGCATAGAATTTTCTTTTGTAAAGGTTTTGTTGCATACAGTTTTCCTGAACTGCTTCCACTTGTAGCAGGTGACAAAGTAAATGAACAGGTGGCAAGTTAGTATTAATAAAAACAAACTGGGAAGTACTTAACCATACTTAGTTTGATTGTTGTGGTTGATATTTTTATAGATACCCTTACTCATTTTACAAATATTTATTGAACACCCACCATGTGCTAGATGCTCTTCTTGACACTGGGAATACAGTAATGGCCAAAACAAACAAAATCCCCTGTGACATTCATACTGTATATTTATAACATTCTTATTTTCTGCTAATAAAATTGTTCCAACCTTATATAAAATTAAAATGTGTTACTATTTTGGTGTGTTCTCCAAAAAGACCACTGAGTTCCAAGAGTTCTACCCAACTGAGTCTGAGAGCCACTTTTGTATAGAATGGTTATTCCTATTTCAGAAGAGTGACAATATAGAGTATTTCTTTTGTAACATTGTTTTCACCTTAAGTCACTTACTGTTGGCCACATTTACAGTAAAAATGTATTGTCCTGCTTAGTATTTGTCATAATCAAATGGTACTTTATTAACTACCTGTCACATTAACTTGGATTTGAGGTTAATTTATATTATTTGTACTTACTACCTGACCAACGTCATCATTCACATGACAATACCTACCACTTCTCCCCAGCCAATACATCTTCAGGGACTTCATTTTGCAGCTTTTTGTGATTTTCTTCCTATCTTGTAATTGGGTCATTCTTTATCTCTTCTCTTATTCAATCATTCTAGGGAGCTATTTATCTATAAATATTAGGTTGAACCATACAAAATTGCCATTTTGTAGGTCAAAAGTATTTGATCAGTGTTAATTTCATATGGTCCAACTTAGTAAGTATATATGCATTTATACACACATACATATATTTATATTTGAGAGTGGGAGGCTGGGGAGAGAAAGGGTTAGAGGAAAGGAAACAGATGGTGGGGCAAGGACAGAACTCAGGGGAATACTCAACACTTACCTGAAAAGGAGAGTCTATGAAGGAACCTTCTCAAGAGCTATGAAAAGAGCCATAAGAACAGTAGTGCCAAGGAAACAAAAGGAATACAGGATATCAAGAAGTAGTGAAGGAAGAATGTTGCCGTATATCCCAGGAAGATCCAGAAAGATAAGGACCAAAGAAAGTTTCTTTTGGAATTGATAATACAGAAGTTTTGTGCTACCTTTGTGAGGAGTTTCAGTGGAATCATGGGGGCAGAACCAGATTTCTTTCCTTTTAATGGGAGATTCATTTCTGATTTTATATTTACCTTCTCAAAGAATGGGCTTACATTCTTTTCTCATGTTAGCAAGGAAGCTAGGGCATTGCTTACCTCCAGGTGTTGAAGGGAGATATGGAAATGTATTCAGAGAAAAGTGTCCTCGAGTGGGGAGGGAGAGCCAGGATATGACTAGAATAAGAAGATGGAAAGCATACTTCGAAGAATATGAAGGTATAGGTTTAGATTATCATGGAATAGAAGTTGTGGAAACTGTAATTGAAAGATTTGGAAAGGTTGAGATCAATGAAAGAGGGAAAGAAGCACAGAGAAGTATAGGGTACAAGAAAGGATAAGTGATCAAAGGGTTTTCATTCTGGGAAAGTGGCTAAGGATAACAGCAATGTGACCTGTGGTAGAATTAGCTAAAAATTCAGTTAGTTTATGAGGCTTTTATTTTATTTATTTAATGTTTATTTATTTTTGAGAGAGAAAGAAAGAGGGAGGGGTGAGGGGCAGAGATAGAGGGAGACACAGAATCTGAAGCAGGCTCCAGGCTGATAGCTGTGCTGATAGCACAGAGCCCAATGCAGGGCTCAAACTCACGAACTGTGAGATCATGACCTGAGTGGAAGTTGGACACTTAACTGACTGAGCCACCCACGTGCTCCAGTTTTTGAGGCTTTTAAAAGGCAAAAGAGAAAACAGAGTAGAGTTTATGAGGCTTTTAATGACTTATTATCACCTTAGCTATTGTATGGCTTGATTACCCAGCTTAACATAATAAATAATGTTTAAAACTCTAATAGTTTCACATCTTCAGTGCTTTTGTTTGTGCTTAGCTAGTTGTGCCTATCAGTAAACAACTTTTTTCTTGAAGAATTTTGGTTGAGAAAATCCCACAAATCCACTGTAACAATGCTTTTTTCATTTTGACATGTTAATTTTCTAATTTTTGTCCACATTGATTTATATCTCCTATATAATTATAAAAACAGTGGACATAAATTTAAAAATCAGAATACAGGGGAGTCTGGATGCCTCAGTCAGTTAAGTGTTCAACTCTTGATTTCAGCTCAGGTCATGATCTCATGGTCGTGGGATCAAGCTCCACACTGGGCATGGAGCCTGCTTGAGATGTCTTCTCTCCCTCTCCTCCTCCCCAACTTGCACGTGCTCTCTCCCTCTCTCTCTCTCTCAAAAAAATCAATCCGGAATTAGTCAAATATAGTAAATACCTAGTCATAGTTCACAAAAATGTATTTAATCCTTTTTCTGTTATTATCTCTAATTTGTTTCTTTGTAGGTATATAGCAATATATATACAATATATATTTGCAATATATATTGTATACAATATATATTGCAATATATAGCAATAACTATATTGCTCATCTTCATAATACAGATTTCTTCTCTTGGTATCCATTTCCAGGAGTGAAGTTACTGGGTAAAAGGAAAGAGTTTGAACATTTTTAAGACCTTGTTATGTACTGCTATTCCTTTGCCATATGCGGTTCTTTGAGGGAAGATGGATATAATAGGTAGAGTACTTAAGTAACAAAGGTCTGGTAGCCATAGAGAAAGAATGGGGGTTTGGGAGATGAGACTAGAAAAAGAAGACTGACTAGGAGGATAAAGTAATCTTAGAGATGTGAAGGCCTGGGCTAGGTAGTTACAGGGGGATTGGAAGGAATGGAAAAGTTGGGCATTTTCAAAAGAAAAAATGATAGGATTTGGTGATGAAATGAAGCATGAAGGACACAAGATGACTTTGAGATTTCTAGCTTGGGATAGTAAAGGAACCAGGAATATTGTGCCTGGAGGAAAAAAGATGAATATTTTGTGGTTCTTTTCAAATAATTGATAGATTGTCCCATGGAAAGAGCAGATCTCTATGTGACTTCAGAAGGCAGTATTAGATATAGGGCAGTATCTTTTTTTTAATAAACTTTTTTCTTTTAGAGAGAATGTGTGTGCATGCCAGAGTGGGGTGGGGGACAGAGGGAGAGAGAGAATCTTAAGCGAGATCACCATACTCGGCACGGAGCACAATGTGGGACTCGATCCTACGACCCTGGGATCATGACCTCGGCCGAAATCCAGAGTTGGTTGCTTAACCTACTGAGCCACCCAGGCACCCCACGGCAGTATCTCATTATAGGTAGAGGAAACTCAAAATGGAATAAAGGACTTTAAGAGGTACTATATTTCCTGGTGTTAGAATATGTCAAGCATAGGCTTAGTGGGTGTATCTACTGGGGATATTTATGTAGAGAAGGTTCTTATACAGGGTAGAGCTGTGCTTCTCAACCTTTTTTTTTTTAAACCCATGTTCCTCTCATAAACATAAAAATCTCATGACTTTAATGTGGGGACTGCGTGGATTAGAATAAGTGAGTGGGGAATGAAAGGATTTAGTTTTCTGAATATGACATGGTAATATTTACTACCTTCTCAGATGTTTAAATCCTTGGTTGACACCAAAATTGAACACTGTTTTAGGTGATTCCAAGGTCACTTTCAACTTGAACATATTTATAACCTGAATGCAAGGTGTCAGTTTCTTTAAAAAGTATTAATTGAACTGTTCTGTGAAGTGAGCATCCTATCACTGGAGATATTCAAATAGTATCTAGGCCATTATTTGTTAAGGATATGTGCGAATGCTCTCCCCCTGTTGTTAAGGATACGTAATAAAGGTTTCCTGTATTAGGTTTTGGGATGATATGGATAGCTTTCAAATTTATAGATGCTATGATTTATCCTCATTAATGCTCTGGGCACACTTCTGTCAAGACTGTATTTGTATGTAAATGAGACCCTGAGAAATCAAGGCAAAGCCTGAGAATGACTAGAATTGTTTGTTTTCCACAGTTACAGAAGGTAAGATAAAGTTTATGATTGTCAAAAAGGGAGTAAATTGTAGTTGTGACACAAGGTGAAATGGATGGGAAACTCATTTCTATAGCAACTTTAAAGGATATCGAAGGGGAGACAGCAGGGGTGGGTGATACTTTATTTGAAGATGTAATATATGTTATAAATGAATGTAATTTAGAGAAACAAGAGTGTTCCTGGACTGATAAGCTGGGGGCAGTCTTGTAGAGAAAATGGCAATATAAACTTGTACTTGGCATTCATCTGTCTCTTGGAGACTGATCAGGCTGGAGCAGCAGCTATTAGGTTCTGAATTAGATGCAGTCATCTCCACCGCCAAGCCTCTGGTTTTAATTTGTTCTCGACACTGTAGTGTGTCTGAATGGTTTTATGAATGATTTTTTTTTTTGTTTTGATTCCTCAGTGTAGTGTTCTCCAGAGTTTGAAAGAACTATTGCAGAATTGGCTGTTGTGGCTTTCTACGGACATCCACATGAAACCTGTGATGGACAGTCCTCTGTGAGTTCTCTTACAACAGTCCACAAGAGATGATCTGCATTAAAATGTTTGCAGAGAGTTTAATAGTATGGCACGAGACCTTATTGTAAATACATAGTCATAGCTTTCTTAACAAAAATATTTTTGTTTCTTTTCGCTTTTCTTCCCTGTAATCCTGTGAGGGAGGCTAAATTCTTCAAGTTCAATTGTATAAATCAGAAAGCAACCCCTAATCCTCTAAGTGACTTACAAGAGTTACTACAGCAAAACATTGGAGAGCTGATGTTAAAACTTGCATCTTTGGCTTCCATTCAGTTTAGCTCACTTTATAAAATATGTTCTTACTTACATGTAAAGTCAGTTCTGATGATGGTTAGGAAAATCTGTAATTTTTCTGTACAGTTTTGGTTTTGGTTTCTCTGATGTATTTTGGTTACGTACATTAATTTCTTTTCACTTTGAAATAAAAAAAAGAACCCCAGCTTTCCATTATGTTGATTATTGTTAAATGTGCCCTTTTTTACTCTTTCTACATAAAATCTTTGGCTTCTCCGATATTATCAGCCACATTATTTTTTAACATTAATTTTTTTGTTGTTGTTGTGTAATGCATTTTATTTGTCTGTTTATTTTAATTTAACATTCTTATATTTTAAGGACATGTATTTTGTAATCCATTATTAGAAACAAGCATATAGGCTATGTTCTACACAGATTAAACTTTTTGGTTTTTTTTTTTGTTTTTTTTTGTTTTTTTTTTTTATTTATATATGAAATTTATTGTCAAATTGGTTTCCATACAACACCCAGTGCTCATCCCAAAAGGTGCCCTCCTCAATACCCATCACCCACCCTCTCCTCCCTCCCACCCCCCATCAACCCTCAGTTTGCTCTCAGTTCTCAA